CCATCATTGTGGAAAGTTAGGATCTCTGCCCGGGCGGACCATATACTTCTCCGCAACTAGTTGGACCCCATGAAAAAGAACAAAAGTATAAAAATCCCGCAGGATATGCCCTTCTGGTTCCGGCCTCCGGTTCCTCGCTGATTAAGTGATTTTTCGACAGGACACAACTCTGCGGTCTCTGGGGCAGGCACTCACTACATCAGTTTCCCTTCATGCAGGACAAACTAATTTTATTGCACTTAATAGTGGGCATAGTGGACAAAAATGGGCAGTTGAGAGGGGAGCGCCAATAACAATCTACTTTTATATATATATATCTTTATTTTTCATACTCAGATTGAATATGTCCTTTAGCAAGTCAGAAGAAGTGGAGGGAAGCCATAACATAAGTGACAGATCGTTGGTAAAGAATGGATTTTTTAATTATTTGCGCGACTTCTGTGTAACGGGTAGCCACACTGCAAATTATTTCAGGCGAGATGTTGAAAGTGAAACACAAGCGCACGCGGAATAGTTGTCCGGCTTGCGGCTCGTCGACTAAGGCTGTGGTGGTCTTGCTTGCGCACACGTTTGCCTATCAATAATGGTACGTTAATAATCGCGTGCAACGACAATGAAATGGGAAAGATAGAGACACACATATAACTATTGCTGCAAAAAAAGAAAATTACCCTAACGCTGCTGAACTCCCCTTTTCGCCTCCTTAGATGTTGTGGAGGTCCAGTCGGGCTCACCCTTCCTTCGGTCGCTCCATCCAACTGCTCAATAGCCTGAGCGACCCCTTTTCTTAAGCGCTACCCTACATCTGCATGTCGCCAGCTGCGGCCAAATTCGTTTTTTTCTTAAAACATTATAAACGTTTATTAATAGCTAAAAACATTCTTAACGCTACCCATGATAAAAGATTTACTTAGGGACATGTATAAATACGACATATAACTTAGTGATACATATAAATATTAAATGTGAGAGATGCGAAAATTAACTTATAATAATTCTATCCTTTTTCTTGATGAAATCAAAATTTAGGCCAATGGGAAGGGGAATTTAATCCGCGTAAAATAGAAATTAATTTAAAAGCGAATAAAAAGGTACGGCTGCATAACAATATTCTCGTGCGTGGAATCAAAATTGAGTCTTTTTTCTTCTCCTACATTTGAGCGCTTTGGATTTCACGTATTTTTCTTTCTGCTCCTTCTCTATCGATGTTTGAGGTAAAATATTATAATTTCCATTTTTTCCTTTTACTTTACTTTTTGGACACGATTATATATATATTTTTCTGCATGATACAGAATTCAAATTGGATTTTTCCACTCACCAATATTTAATACAATCCATCGACGAAAGCGCTTTCCTCGGGATGTGATGAGCTAATGGGGTTAAGAAATAAGGCACACAATAAAAGAACAAAAAAAATCAATCTAGTTGCCACACCACATCACACCACACTGCACATTTTCCCACAATTTGGGGTTCTCTCGGTCGACATTTGCCCCGCCATTGCCACATTTAACAACTAACAAAAAAACTTAATTAACTACTAAATTAACCTAAACAAGAATCATCACTTAATTTCTGGATTTCCACTTTTCCGGGCTAGGTCATAGCTTCTCCCTCTTGGGACGTTTCCGCGGCCAAACTTTCCGAGTATTATTTTAGCTTTATTAGGCCCAAATTTGCCAATACAACGTTTATCTGCCTCTGCTTAGAGCATGTCGCGCGCCGACGTCATACGCGAATGGGAGGGGAAGCGATACTAAAGCTGCGCTCGATCGAACTTATTTCATTGGTAAATTTAATCTAATCTGCTTTGTGCAATTTCGGTGTGGGTGTGCGAGCGGCCGCAAGAGATAAAGTTAGGGCCGTATGCCCGCTTAGCACAACTTTTAAACCACTCAATGTCCGTAATTTCCACTTTTAACTCGGTTGCGCTGGGTTCGATGTGCGCTTCGGTTTGATGTGCGCTCCGATTTGATGTGCGCTCGATATGCTGGTTGCGCCTGCGCCGACTGCCGGTTTTCTTAGCCTTCCCTCGCTTCTTGGCCTTGGTATTGTCGCCCTTCGCTCGCCTGATTTAATAAAATACACTGAGGAACTGCTTGGATTTTCCCCTTTACTCTTTAAAAAACTCACCCCAGACCACTGCACATACGTCCGGGAATAAGACGATCTTCTGGGAATTATCACGCAGCTGCGAACAACACTTATTGTGCAGCAGAATGCGTTACAGCGAGCAGAGACGCGTGGCGCCATACAACAACAGCAACAGCAGGCAGAAACACGCATCGATATACAACAACAATGGGCAAAGACGCACGTTGCGCGCGAACAGCCAATTGGAAATTCATCGGGTGGCAACGCCAGCAATCCAACTCCAATCGCTACAGGAAACGGGAGTTCCATCGTCCAGGGCTGGATCAGCAGCTTCACTCTCGTTTGCCAAAGAAGCTGCCATCGACTTCGACGGAAACATTTGTGCACGCAACTGGGTAGATCACCTTAAAAACATAGGCCAAATCTAAAACTAAGATATTGACTGCCTACGAATGCTACTCGTTACCAAACTAAAAGGTAATTATCAGCGTTGGCTGCACGCCAACCCATCCCGAATGCTAGATTCTTTCGAACGACTGTGCGAACAACTAATCATAGCATTTGGGGAATCGGCGTATAAATCAGAGCGTCGCCGAAAACAACGAGCAACGGATATGGTAAAAGAACGAGGGCTTAACAATGTATTTCGAGGATAAAAAAATGATGTCCCAAGCCATCAACATGGGCACTGAGAAACTGCTCAAACAGCTCATCGAGGGAATCTCATTACCTAGTTTGCGTGATCAAGCTCGTATCCAAAGGTTCGCCAATCCGGAGCAGATGCTGCTAGCATTTGCCAACATACGTCTTCCACAACAACCCGGAGCATACGCACCGAAGAAGTCGGTGTTGGAAGCGACGCAGATCAATAACTTGCCAAGGACCGCCGCAAGCCAGCAAGGGCACCTGGGTCTTGCTTCGCATGCGGAGAAATGGGACATTTTGTGGAAGAATACAGCCAGAGGAGGAGCAACAACAACAACAATAGCAACAGCAAGAACAATAGCAGGAACAACAACTATGTAAGAAAAGTAGTAATTTTTTTCGATCACCATCTCAATTCACCTATTATTGCAGAATGTCTCATCGACTCAGGGAGCGCGATATCATTCATTAAGCAGTCCAGAATTCCAGCTGCATTATCATTGAGTAACGTTATTTAACCATTACTATATCTCGAAGAACTAAAAAAAAAATTAAAAAACACCAAAGTTATAATTTTTTTTATTTACTTTTCGATTGTTCCTATGGGAGCTATATGCTTTAGTCGTCCGATCGTTCCGACTTATATACTACCTGCAATAGAACGACAACTTTTGGGAAAGTTTCATGCAGATAGCTTAAAAACTGAGAGACTAGTTTGCGTAAAAAAACGGACGGACAGACGGACATGGCTAGATCGACTCGCCTTGTGATGCTGATCAAGAATATATTTACTTTATAGGGTCGGTAATGTCTCCTTCACTGCGTTGCAAACTTCTGACTGAAATTATAAAACCCTCTGCAAGGGTATAAAAAATATATATGACGCGGTTAATTACGTAACGGCCCCATAAATTTCCTTAATGCAATGTAAAAATTCACACGAACCTAATTAACTTTCATAAGTGATTTTGATATATAAATCGAAATTATTATTTAAAAAACCGTCAATTTAAAAAAAATTTCATTTCATTTCATCATTTCGTTTGCGGCTAGACGCAGTTTTTTTTACATAGGTTTTGTATAGGCAAATAGAGATGCGGAAAATGTGCGTCAAGGTGCATTAGTCTACAAAATCTGGATTTTTACCGATGTTTACTTGATATTTACTCGATATTTGGCATATCGATATACAATCGTGGGGAACTATCACCACTAACGACCGAAAACAACAAGAATAGCTGGTAAAAAAAAAGGCGGAAGGATTTTCCTGGACAATTCAAAACAAAGAAGTGTAACAGCCTATTCTACTTCTTTGCGTCTATTCCGATATCGTGCGTGAGTTCAACTAAGCTATTAGATAGGCGAAAGCCGTAGAGATGAGCAAATAAGCGATAGTTTTGTAAAATATCGACAAAAATTTGTGTTGCCAGGGCGGTCCAATTAATTCCGTGCTTTTTTTATACCCTTGCAGAGGGTATTATATTCTTGATCAGCATCACTAGGAAAGTCGATCTAACCATGTCCGTTTCTACGCAAACTAGTTTCTCAGTTTTAAAGCTATCTGCATGAAACTTTCCCAAATGTTGTCTTTCTATTTCTTAAGTGTTTTTAAATTTTTTTTTGGTTTTTCGACTTATAGTAATGGTTGAATATTACAGAATTACGGTCTAAATTTTAAGAAAATCTGTCGACTATATCATATAGCTCCCATAGGAACAATCGGAAAAATAAATAAAAAATCGGAAGACTATAACTTAAAGCTCCCATAAAATCAATAATTTTTTAATTTAACTTTTTTATTTTGTAATCTTTTTTAGACATTTTTTATGAATAATTAATAATTTGACGGTTCAGAATCACGCTTTAAATTTAAATAAAATCGGAAAACGATATCATATAGCTGCCATAGGAACTATCGAATAATTAAGCTGCAAATCATCATAGTTTCAATGTTTTTAAAGATATACGCAAGTAAATCATTATTTTAATGTTTTCAAGAGTATTTAGTTTTTGAAATAGCTGCAAGGGTATATGAACTTCGGCTTGCCGAAGTTTGCTTCCTTTCTTGTTTTTATATTACTTTTCATTCCGCGTAGCCGTGTAGCTGTGTGGCGTGGCTCTATTCTGCTTCTGATGATAAGTTTTGCGACGTTTAGTTTCGAAGCGCAACTGATAGCGTGCTGGTCGGCCATCGGAAGAATAAAATATTATTAGTTCTATTAATTCACTCTTGAGTAAGAAGCCAGAGATAAGAACAAATGACGAGCAAAGTCGGTGGGTAGATGGGAAACCACCGCCGCTATTAATAGTTGTTACTAACACGGTTTCTTCCAGGGATCCTTCTTTTGGCACTGGGACATCTTGAGGTTACCCAAAGCCTTGCGAAGCCAGAGACCAGAGAATGTCTGGCGCCCACCTACATGACACGCTTCAGCGCCAAGCTCTTTCCGAAAATCATAAAGTCGGAAAATAAGCTCGACAATATTTTCTTCTCACCCTACGCCGTGCACGCCATGCTGGCACTGATCTATAGGGCATCGGAGGGTGAAACACTCAACGAAGTGCAGCGGGTCGGCGAGTTCAACCAGCACCCTGTTTTCGTGGCCCTGGACTTCGAGCGACTGATCAAGTTCAAGGAGCGTCTCCAGAGTACCAGGCTATATTCTAACTCCAGAGTATTCTACAACCAGACGCTGGATGCAGTCAATTCCCGCTACGACGAGTTCTCCGAATTCTATTTTGACATCGGCATGGAGCCTGTGGACATGGATGGCGGCAAGGTCATGACCAACAGTATCAACGAATGGTTAACGAGTTCCGGTTACTTCTGGCAATTCCGCCTACCCTACGACATTATCTCTCAGGTCCACACTACTGATAAGCACCGTGCGTTTCTTGGGATTCTGGGAGCACACGTTCTACTATGGAAATACTCGACCAACCGAATTCCACCTCGCCAACGGTCGTATTTCTAATGTGGACATGATGTACAACCACAAAGTCTATGGTCTGGCCGATCTGCCCGACCTGGACGCCACCGCCTTGGAACTGCCCTTCAAGGACAGCGCCACCAACATGCTGATCCCGCTGCCCAATCAGCCGAATGAATTGGTCAACCTCGAGCAGCAGTTGGCCCAGCCGGAGTTCGATCTCAACCGGATCGCCAACTGCCTGCACCGCCAGTCGGTCACGGTGGGCCTGCCCAGGTTCAGGGTCGTTATGGTTTTTGACATGAATGCTCCTCTGAAGCAGCTGGGTCTCAATCAGATGTTCACGGACAGCTCGAAGGTGACCGAATTGCTCGATCTGCCGGTGCGCGTGGACAAGGTCCTGCAAAGGGCCCATTTTACAGTGTTTGAGGACGGAACTTCATTACAGTACCCTTCGGGTAAGATTTCAGCTACTTTTCGGGCCTAAAAAGTACTACAAAGCTATTAATTCTATAGGTCCAGAAGATGCCAAGTCACTGCCTGCCAATTCCAAGGAGTTCGTCGCTAATCGGCCAATCGTCTTTGCCATCCGCACCCCCAACTCAGTGTTGTTGATGGGTCATGTCAAGAGTGCTAGGATATATAAATAAGGATTCCTCCGATGCCCTATAGATCAGTGCCAGCATGGCGTGCACGACGAAGGGTGAGAAGATAATATTGTCGAGCTTATTTTCCGACTTTATGATTTCCTGGAAGAGCTTGGCGCTGAAGCGTGTCATGTAGGTGGGCGCCAGACATTCTCCGGGCTCTGGCTTCGCAAGGCTTTGGGCAACCTCAAGATGTCCCAGTGCCAAAAGAAGGATCGCTGGAAGAAATCGTGTTAGTAACAAATATTAATAGCGGCGGTTTTTTCCCATCTACCCACCGACTTTGCTCGCCATTTGTTCTTATCTCTGGCTTCTTACTCAAGAGTGAATTAATAGAACTAATAATATTTTATTCTTCCGATGGCCGACCAGCACGCTATCAGTTGCGCTTCGAAACTACATAAACGTCGCAAAACTTATCATCAGAAGCGGAATAGAGCCACGCCACACAGCTACACGGAATAAAAAAAAACAAAAAACAAACTATTTAATTGTTAAGGCTACATATAAGTTTGCATAATGGTTAATTCCCCTGATCACAGAAATGTTTCCATAAAATAGTTTTGTACACAGAAAAATGCGTATTCTGATAAATTTGTTTATTTTTGAAAAAAAAAACCAGGGACCGTAATTATTGTAAGATTACTAACAAACATTATTTGGGAGTTTTTACATTTCAATTTTCCAACCGTCAATTGCAAATATATATTATATTTATTTGTTTTTTTGCTTAATATTAATATATATATATTTATAGAAATACTCTTACTACCTCAATCAAAAAAACAAATAAAAAAACAAAACCAGGTCACCGGAATATTAAATATTATTATTATAGTGAAACGAAACAGTATGTTGTTAGCAATTGAAATTCACTTAAAACTTGGCTCTTTTTATACCCTTGCAGAGGGTATTATAATTTTAGTCAGAAGTTTGCAACGCAGTGAAGGAGTCATCTCCGACCCTTTAAAATATATATATTCTTGATCAGCATCACTAGGAGAGTCGATTTAGCCATGCCCGTCTGTCCGTCCGTTTCTACGCAAACTAGTCTCTCAGTTTTAAAGCTATCTGCATACAACTTTCCCAAAAATTGTCTTTCTATTGCAGGTAGTATATAAAACGGAACGAGCCGGATCGGACGACGTTAGCATATAGCTCCCATAGGAAGAATCGGAAAAATAAATTTTAAAAAATTATAACTGCTGTTTTTTAATTTTTATTTTTAGTTCTTCGACATATAAAGTAATAGTTAAATATATCAGAATAACGGTTTAATTTTCATCAAAATCGGACGTTTATATCATATAGCACCCATGGAAACAATAAAAATATATACAAATTTTTTTTTAAATGTAACTTTTTTATTTTGTAATTTTTTAAAATTAATTTTCATTTATTAATAATTTGACAGTTCAGAATTACGATTTTAATTTTATTAAACAGGGCTGACAGGGGTGAAAAGTCGATCTGAGAGCAACAGTGGCATGTGTCAACTTTCCCTAAAATTCACCTTAGACAGCTCTATAGGTCACGCCAACTTTCCGGCGTGGGTAGCAGTCTTTCCCATTTTGGCAGCAGAAGAGTAATCTAATCTAAGGTGCAACTTGTTTGTAATTAAAAGTAACCGCGAGTACACAACTTCAACCGCCAAAGAGAAATTTATGATTTCCGGTCTTTTGGGCACTAGTTTGGGGTGAGTTTTAAAAAAACAAAAAGAGGGGAAAATCCCATCTGTTGCATAGTTGGGTTTTTTCATTAATTAGGCGAACGATTTGGCAAGAATCCCAATGCACAAGGTGTGGATGGAAGGCAAAAGACACCAGCAGTCGGCGCAAGCGCAACCAGTTCATCCAGCGCACATCGAACCTGCACGCAACCGTCAAACTCAGCGCAACCAACTTAAATCTGCGATTAGCATCGTTGTGTTTAGCAAAATTGCGAATATTCGCCCTAACCTAACCCCTTTCGCCCGAGTTGCGCAACGCTCGTCATTACACCCATTCATAATGCAGCTTCAGTTTTGTTTTCCCTCCAATTCGCTAATGGCGTCGGCGCGCGAACTGCTCTGAGCAGTGTCAATAAACCCGTAATTTGCATTACGTTTGGCCCAAATTAAGTTCTGAAGACACTCGGAAGGATTGACCGCGAAAGTGATGTCCTAAAAAAAGGTAGTGAAAATAAAGAAAATACAAGTGATTTAGGTTAAATTATAAGTCGATTACTGTTTTTTGTTAATTATTTCCGAATGGCAATGGCCGGGCGAAAATTTGTTTAGAAAAACCCCAAAGTCATAAAGAAAAGCAAGTGCAGTGTGGTGTTGCGATGCGCAACAGCAGTGTTGACCTTTTTCTTGTCTTTTATCTTGCTTATAACTTTTAACCCCACACTAGCACATCGCATCACGAAGAAAACGCTTTCGTCGATTATTGGTGAGTGAGAAGAAAATCATGTTTAAATTCAAAGAGAAAAGTAAAAAAAATTATAAAGGTTTAATCTCAATCGACAAAAAAACAGAAGATGGACAACAGAAATGTGTGAAATCAAAACGCACTCGTTTTAGGAAAAAGACGCAATTCTGTTTTGACTCAATCGCACAATGTAATTATTGTGCACCCGCACTGTTTATTCTATTCATTAATTACTTTTAAATGCTTAATAAATTCCCCTCCCCATTTGCCTCATTTTTGATTTCGTCGAAAAAAAAGAGAAGTTATGAACAATTATTTACGCACTTTATTTTGTAAGCTGAACGTGCGATTGATAATACGGGTATGACGGGTTCGTCTCTTTCATTGACAGATTCATTGAAGCTCAGAGACAGAGACAGCTATATGGATACTGCTTGAGATTTTTTTGGTAATAAGTTCACGGTCACACTACCTTTTTAACGATAAACTTAAACTTTATTGTTTTGTTTATTATACTGTGTTTATCCCGTTAATTTTAACGTTTAAAGGGTCTCAGTTGTTACCTTTAAATGGTTAAAATTGTTTCGTATACATTTAAGCCTCGCTTCATTCATTCATTCCGTTTTGCCGTGAACTCCAATAAATGAGCAAAACGTACTTTTTAAATACAATTTTGCTCATTAATGTATCGGCCCCGGTGGTATTTCATCGAATGTTTTTTTTAAACTAAAATCCGGTGCATGTTTTTTACTATCGGGTACCGGTTCCGACAATTTTGTTCATTCACTGCTCATTGGAATCGTCATAGGTTGTCTTGCTCGCACTTACGTAAAATCGTATAGTTAAAACAAAAAATCAGCAATGAATGAGGCCAACAATGTAGTGTCATAACCCCATTACAATAGATAAATAACAATTAATACATTGTGCGGAAAAAAAAAGATTGAAAAATTTAAGAACAATTTGTTTTGACACTTACTTTTTTCCTGTGTACCTAAACATTTTATACGTAAAGTATTATTTTCATGGCAATAACCTATTTTCAGTTTGGTTTAATTAAATAAAATGGTTTATTATACAAATGTTTTTTTCTGTGTTCTTTGAGGAGTAATTAACCGATGATAATGAATAATAAATCTTAATCTTAAATTTTGGTACTTCAAATGCTAAGACTACACAGATGAGAAAAATGAAATAGTAAAAATAATTATCTGACCATAGAATTTCAATTTGAATATTTAAATTGTTTGAATATATTTAAATTAAATTTGAAATCATAATATTTATTTTCATATTAATATTCATATTAATATTAAATTTTCAGATATTTTAGTTATATCCGAAAATAAGCGAACGAAATATTAAACAATTTTTTACAATTTTTAAAAACCGCAATGGATAAAAACCAAAAGGAAAATATTTAAATTGAATACAAAATATTTGGTTAAGTTTCCAATGTTCTTTCACGGCACATTTGTTTAATTTGTTAACAATTGCGACACTGGAAGGTCAGAAGTCGAATTTAGCAGATAGCAGCTTCAATTGAAAATAAAGCGGACACACAATAAGATGTTGTTCATTGAATTCAAAGCAGCGCAAAAGAAGAGAAGCAAAACTCTTATCAACAATACTAAATTTAAATTTGTATTTGTTTTTGGTAAAAGTTTCAATTTCGGATTGTTTCCCAGAATTAGTCATGAATTGTGGACTTTTTTTGTTTCTGGCTACGCTAATCGCCTTTCAAAATGTCATGGCCACAAATGCCAAAAAATATTATTTGCTGGAACAGGAAGAAAAGACCAACCCGTATTTGAAGGAAATCTATAAGCAAATTGATAAGTTGGAGAAATTTAAGGTAAATAAATAATTGTAAGTATTTTAGCATTATAAAGATTCAATCTACATTAGATCAGACATTCAGCTGCCTTTACCATTGGCCCAAACTACTATTCGGATGACCGTATTCCTATCGTAGCTGAAATGTATGATATTTATTCAACAATAAGTCGGATAGAAGATCACTACAAGTATTTAAAAGCCTACGAGACGTTTAAGTTTGAAAATGACACCCTACTAAATTTAGCGAAGGCCCAGGTTATTACAAGCGAGCGTGAAAATCTCCAAGCCGTGGAACACCTCCACCTTAAGCTATTCGGAACTGAGGATGTGATTGGACAACTGGCCAGCGGCAACCAGGTAATAAGTATAATTTTCCGGTATCCCCTAAAAAATAATTCGAATTTAATAATTTAATTTTTAAAGATGTTTCAAGACTATACCTGCCGAACACCACAATCGCCCCAGCTATATCTTTACATGTTGTATGAGCAGTATGTCCTCGTCGAACTGAAGGCCCACGCCTTGATAGAGTGGTCCTGGATGATGCTCAGGAAGTTCGGACAGGGTGGATCCATCGAGGATGAAAACAGATCCCGAGATGCCTACAAGCGAAGGACGCCAACCACTCTGCCCAAGATCAAACAATTGATGAGCCGAGCAGATCGCTCTGTTTGGCGCTGCGATCCAAGGGAGCACGAGGTCAGAGTGACCTACGAGGAGGTCACCCGCCTGCTGCAAGGTTACATTGAAAACGAGGTGGACCTGAACAGTGATGGATCCTGTAGTCGGGGTTGCGCCTACTACAAGTCCACAAAATCTGAGGGCTGCTTTGACAATAAGTTCTGCTCCGAGCAGCCAAAATGTTCCGGTGGAGTGTACGACTGTCGCTATGTGGAATCCAATATGAAAATTTGTCAGGCGGCAAGCAACCAGAATAGACGGTACGATTTCATCCAGTATGAAAGTGGACGGGTCTACGGAAAAGGTGGCAGTTGCCATACATGGTTAAATAAAGCAAACAGCTGGAATCGGTGGATCTTCCAAGAATGCAGCTACTGCCTTTGCTTGTGCGATGATCAGGGAGTTGAGTCGGATCGCTATTTTAACTTGAGACCAGTGATCGCCGATGTGGAGAGAAACAGGTAAGATTTACAGTCAAATGTTAAACCATATTTATCTGGATTCCTACCAGATAACAGTTGAAACCTCATCTAACAGAGTCGTGACAGGCGTTCGTTTTGTGAAGCGCAATCGCGTTTTCCACCTGCAGATTCAAGAGGGCGAAATGCTGCCACTTGGAGTCATCAATGAATCCACCCTAGAGTGGAAGCCCGCAGATTTGTACAACATAACCGACAAGGATGTACAAGAGGGCATCGACTTCCACATGCTGAGCTACGAGAAGCGATCCGTAGATCTGGTTGAACTGAAAGCGGAGAACAACTCCGTGGTTACCGGATTGCGGTTCAAAGTGAGAGGAACCCATCTTCACCTGGAGGCTCAATGCAGTAGAGTGGAATTCCAGCGCGGAATTTTAATTGAGCCGAAAACAACGAGCTACTGGATGTCTGGAGGTAACGATGAACCAAGGTAAATCTTAACTATTATTCGGCAATTTATTTAAATATTATTGTTTATAATTTTTTTACAATTCAAACTTCAGGGATAAACTGCCCCTCAAGGACCCCCAATTGCCCACGCAATCTTCCACTGCATCGATACCTTATCCAAGTGATAACCACTTTATCGAATTTGCTAATACGGGATTTGACCAGGATGCCGGCCAATCAACTGTGCCCTTCATCGACATCCAGGACGTGATTTCAGATCCGGCGGTTCCTCTATCCGGCATTGGCTTATATTTTAAAGGAAGAGATGGTTTTGGTGGCTTCCTGGCCCCTAAGATCATCACCTATGACTTCACGCCCTATGTCCAGCTGCCCACTTGGGAGTCTATGCAAACTGTAGTTAGAGAAGGCGAAAATCCTTAATAAATGTTGTTCTTTCAATTAAAGGTTTTGATTTTTTTTTTTAAATAGAAAGTATGGTCAGAATAAGTATTTTTAAAATAAAGTATACATAACATATTTCATTTCAGCCTCATCGCGTATGTATTTAAAAACAAGAAATTTGTCATATTTACAATTTTTTTCCGATTAATTATTCCGATTTATGTTTAAAAGTGAGTGACTACTTTGTATATAATCAAAGATGGGCGCTGATCTTATATAATATATATATTTTATGGAGTCACAAATGTCTCCCTATCAGAGTTTCAAACTGAATTTATGACTTTTTGCATGCCCAGAAATCTATGCCAAGCCATTTTGATGTTTAAAAATTCTTTTTAGAGCCTTTTTAAGTTAAGGGAAAAAGTAAGCAAGGGTTTATTGTCAAAAAAAACTTTTTTATGATCAGGGGTCAGAACTGTGTTCTTCTGTTTTTTCAATATCCACGTAATTTGAGAAAGCCTCCTGAACATGGTATTGGTCTATTTTAATATAAAATTGATTTGAGGTCTCCCGTATAAATTAAAACCAACATATTAAATATATTAAAGTTTTCTTTTTTAATTAATAAAAAAAACCAAAAACGTTAAATGGTTTTTGTTTAAAATGCTTCTAGTTTACGGTCTTTCAATTTAAAGCGCTTTGACCTGAAATTAGTAATATATATTTTATCAATGAAACTGAACTCGTCAACTGTTCACTTAAAAACTTTCTATCCTCCTCTGTAAAACTTAAAGCTATAGTTGTATTAATTCGTGAAACTATTTAATTTAATTTAATTTAAAAATGTAAATTTAATTTAATTTAAATATGTAAATTTAATTTAATTTAAAAATTAAAGGCCGAATGCATTAGTTGTAGCTACTTAAAGCTGTAGTTGTATTAATTCGTGAAACTATTTAATTTATTCAATACTTAATAGTATACGTTCCCCATAGCCAGATATTCTAAAGGATATTTTGGTTGAAGCCACCCAAGTAAAAATTAAACATCTACATACACCCAACGCTATCACAATTACTTGAGAACCATACTGGTGGTATGAAATGGGGTTGGTTATTTGAAATATGTCAACAAAAAAATAAATTTATTTTTATAATTTTATTATTAGTATGTTTATTAAAATAATTATATGTATAAAATATTTTGGATTGTCCGATAACATAAATGATTCATACAGATAAGTTTTTAAAAATCCACGGTTATTTTTATTTATAAATAATAGTTCATTTGAAAATATAACTTACTAAGAAGGACGCCAAAAAAATGTGCGTAAGAATTGAGGGCTTTTTTGCCAGAAAGCCCTTTCACATTAAAGCCAGCTGCGAATTCATCAGTTATGATACGTTGTAGATTCTTTATGACGCCTCTTTCAGTCTTCAGTCAGCTCTCATTGCGATCGGACGTGCTTTCTTCTTCGCTATGTCAATCTGTTCCGAATGCAATTCCGAAGTAACTGCTGCGCAGCTTCGCTGTTTCGATGCGATTCGGTGTTCTTCTCTTTGCCGCCGCGCTTTTCACATTTCTTGTGTCGAATTGCAGCTGGATGCAATTAAATTGCTAACGAACCTGCCAAACCTTTTTTGGCAGTAGGTTATAATTTATAATTTTAGTTATAATTTTTTTTTATTTATTTTTTCGATTGTTCCTATGGGAGCTATATGCTATAGTCGTCCGATCCGGCTGGTTCCAACTTATATACTACCTGCAATAGAAAAACAACTTTTGGGAACGTTTCATGCAGATAGCTTTAAAACTGAGAGACGAGTTTGCGTAGAAACGGACGGACAGACGGACGGACAGACGGACGGGCAGACGAACAGATGGACAGACGGACATATCTTTAGATATGTGGTACTTTGGTAATTACATTTCTTCGTGATTGTAAGCGCATAAAATAATTTTTATATTTTTTTATTATTATATACATTACACTTTTTTAATCGTACAAAAAAGGAGCTTTTCAAAAAGTTCTTATTCAGAAGGAACAGCAAAAGACTCCAAGTTTGCGGTTAACTTTGACTTGTATCAATTTACAATACAAAAAAAAACTTCAGAGTTTCGTTTGCCTGATTCCGCGCTAGCTTGAGATATTATTTACTGCAATGTCAAAGCATAAAAACAATTGCAAACGATCAACTAAAGAGTTTCGACTGATTATAAATAATTATTAAAAACCGTGGTGTGTGTCTCAGCTGCCGGCGATATTGCCAGACTTATTTTGTTAGGCTTACTAAGACAGATGCCGATAGATGGCGCTGGCTTAAGTCATGCAATATTGCCTTACTAAGACGAATGCCGATAGCTCGAGTGATGCAATATTGGCTTACTAAGACAAATTCCGACAGATGACGCTGGCTTAAGTCATACATTATTACCTTACTAAGACAAATCCCGATAGAGAGCGATGGCTCAAGTGATGCAAATTGGCTTACTAAGACAAATTCCAACAGATGGCGCTGGCTAAGTCATGCATATTGCCATTCTAAGACAAATGCCGATAGAGAGCGCTGGCTCGAGTGATGCCTTATGGACTTACTAATACAAATATCGATAGAGGGCGTTGGATCCAAATGAAGTTCTAAGTTTCCATATCAGGTGAAATTTAAACTGTGCCCGTCAAAAAATAAATTCAGCAGTATGAGTGTCCGCAGTACTCTAGGGAAAAGTTGCAGATAGCATTCAAAAAAAATTTCTCAGATTTGCTCTTTCTTCACTTAATTTTGCTGACCGTTTTCCATCATACTCTCGCAGATGTCGTCTTGTCCATCTTTCTAGACTTAAAGACCGTAGGAAAATACAAGCCTTATTTATCTTGGATGAGCTTCTTGCTGGCAGCATAGATTGCCCTGAGTTGCTTTCCAAGATAGAATTTTGTGTGCCAAGCAGGTCTTTTCGTTCTCACGAAACTTTTTTTATTAAGCATTGTAGGACTAATTACGCCCTTTATGAGCCTATTTTTCGGGCTTTTCGATTATATACTGCTTTACCACCTAGCATGCGGCTCGACTTCAGTTCAGTTATTCTTTAGTTGAATATTTTTTAGCTTGTTATGTTAAGTTTTAAGATATATATAGATTAATAATATAATTTATAATATTAATATCAATTTAAAAGAAATTGAATTTTTCTTACAATTTTGGCAATTTCTTGGTCTATGGGTGCAAGTATGTCTTCTTCAGAAAATTTCCTGTTAATCTGCTATAGTCTAGTATGGTTTGGCATAAGTTGAGATTAGCAACTCGCTACTGTGGACAACAAAGGAACTTATAATGGTAATAAATATCATTATTTTTGTTTTTTTCGGCCGTTAGGCAAAATTTTTGAACAACATCTTAGAGGGCTTATGACCTTTATGTTGTCGGTTACAATTTTATTCCGTTCCATCTGCAGTCTCTCTAGTTTCCTTATTTGTCTCATCTTGTTAGTTTTTTGGCAATGTTCCTCTCGCTCTCCATAAATGATGTGAAGTCGTTCGGTTCTAGCTGTTTTTGTAACGTCGTTCTCTTCTCCTCTCTCTTTTTGATTAGTCATTTTTGTATATGATGTTAATGTTTGATCAGCAAGCTTTAAGAGGATCCCGCCTCAAGGGGAACTGGGGTAAAAGAAAATTTGGGGTAATGTGGATCTATTTTACTTGAAACGAAAAAATCGACTTCCTTTACCTGGTCAAAGAAAGTTAGGGGGAGTTGGGGAAACATTTTGGTTCTGCAGGTCCCATCTTCTTCAAATTAGCCAACAATTGGCAGTGGGCATCAAGCATCGCCGTCATTAGGCTTTTCACCTCTATGACTTCCCCTTCAGCATTTGAAATCTTACCTCGACCTGCGAAGAGGAAGAGTAAGAGGATCCCGTCTCAAGGGGATCTGGGGTAAAAGAAAATTTGGGGAAATGTGGATCCATTTTACTTGAAACGAAAAAAATTATGTTAGCAATTTTTTATAAAAACCACTTAATATTAACAACTTTGAAATACTTTAGAATGGATAGTCTTGATTGGTAAGAAACGCAAATGTTGGTTAAATTAGTTATATTTTTTGTCTGAGGTCTACATTTAAATATAGTCATTTTCATTAAGAAATCTCCTTCTTTGTCCCACTGTGTCTAGTATTGCACGATCAAATGCACTTTCTTGGTTTGATGTTTTGTGGTCTTTGATGAGCAAAGAGAATTTAGTTCGCGCCTTTTCTTGTTTCTCTTTGTCATTAATAGTTTTGAGGATTTCCTCTCCGTCCGCAAAATATTTTAAGAGAGGGAATTTCTTCTTCTCTATTGGTAGAGCGAACTTTCGCCAAAAGTGATTGTATTGCTGGTGGGAACTCGGTGTCCGTTTTTTCACAAACCAATCAGCTGTTTTTTTGTTGTCGACTTTTGTGTTTGGCAATGTTCCTCTCGCTCTCCATAACGTCGTTCTCTTCTCCTCTCTCTTTTTGATTAGTCTATTTGTATATGGTGTTTATGTTTGATCAGCAAGCTTAATATTTTCAATTGGTAGTAATGTGTGTGTCTGTCCAGTAATTTGTTTATGTCAAATGTATGTCTATATCGCCTGTAAATAGTTTGTTACTCCTAGGGCTGTCTTTTATGAATTTGTTTAATGTTTGTTTTTAACTTAGTTAATTTAGTTGATGTCAATTAAAAATTGTTAATCGTTGGTCTTGCATTATAGTAGCTACGTTTAAGTTCACCATATCCCATGTTGGAGTGTAATGCTATTGGCGTGCCTTCCGTTGTTTAGTGTAGTTAATGTTGGCGATCTTTCCAAATTATATTGATTGGAAAAAAAAATATATATTTATGTCAATTACATACGTCCCGGCATTATCCGAACATTTAGAGAAATACGATTGCTACGACAAAGAAAACATAAGCATCGCACATAAACCGGACCACACATTAAAATCTATATACAACAAAACAAAATTAAAGATAAATGCAATTGACAAAAAAGACGTGATATATAAAAAAAGAACAACAACGAAATATGAAAAAAAAGATATATATA